TTCCATATATACTTGTTCTCCTGATGGAAATAAAACTATGTTACAATTTTCGGCCTTTATTTTCGTTTGTTCACAGGATAAAGTCGATGATAAGATTGGTAATATCGCAGGATTAATCGTCCTGCATTCAGTACCCGAACTTGTACCACAACAAACAAACGTACCAAACAACGATTGATCTAGAATAACGAACGTATTTTCACTTTATCCATGAGCTAATTAAAAAAATACAAAACAGCATGTTATGCTGTTGTTACCTTCACATTTGACACGTTATAATTATTAAATATAGCACAAGAAACGTCTTTTAATAATAAGAAAGGTACTACCGTATTTTTATCTCACTTAACATCTCATCTCCATATAAAATATAAATAATCCATTCACTTGTTTCATATTCTTTTAGAAAGAATTTAGAAATGTCTCAATATAACATGATATAATTGTTTTAATTTACTTACATTTATTCACAAATAATTACATTAATTACGAAGCGACATTAAGTAAAAGCAAGTGTTCTCATGTATTTCTAATTATAAGTGAAAATTGGAAAGAACAATGACGACATTTTCGAGAGTAGACTGAATTGAAGCTTGATCACTTGGTTAAATTAATAACAATAGTGGAACTAATAACATAAGCGATCAAGCTGTAAGACTTCAATATAAGTACTCTCAAAAACGTCATCATTGTTGTTTTCAAACAATTTTCATTTAATTGGAGGAGAGAGGAGGAAAATATATGTAAGATAATGATACTTTCTAAAATAATATGACGAATGGATTATTTATACTTTCAGATCAGATACTATTGTAAGTGAGATAAAATAATACCGTACCTCTGAAACAGTATTGTTGTATTTAAGTACAAACGTATGAAGAGAAAGAAAAAAATGTTCGATAGGGAGATATCAGAAAGCGCGCTTGCACGACGGTAATCTACTTTTATAATGCTATATTTTGTTCTGTCAAGCGTGTAGAGAAAAGTATTCTCACGTTTTGAATTTGAATCAATCGGAACGAGCGCTTTATGCTCTATCGCATTTAATTATCCGCAATTCAATTATATAGTAAAGTAAGTCAAGATGCTTTAGATAAGTAGAGCAAGGCGAATTAATGTGAAATAATTGTTACTTGTATTTATTCACAAATATTAATTAGCATTAATATAATAATTACGAAGCAACATTAAATAAAAGCAAATACTATACGGTTTACGTATGTCATTTACATCTATATGTATTTTTACTTATTGATGTCTCTAGAAATCGAAATCCCTAGCTCAATTGTATAATTATTTTTCATTTTTGTGCTATTAAAATGTAATTATATATCAGCCTGTATGCTATACTTATTCTACTTTCTTCAGAGATACACGTTTATTATACGCAGTTTCAGTTTCCCGATAACACGCGGTCTCATAATTTAACGAAAACCACGTTAAAAGTAGTTGAACATAATATCGGATTGCTTATCTTTATTTATACGTACAACAAACTAAATCGATACTGTTATTCCAGAAGATGTCTACTGCAAGAAAATGATTGACTCAGATCTTATCTCAAGTTAATCGGAAGAAAAATAATTCATTTAAGATAATTATATAAAAATGAGTTTTTAATTTTAACATACATTTTTTTATTAATTTTTAAAATAATTTAAAATAATATTTATCACCATTTCTTTCGCTAATTGAGTTCGGAAAATTTTCTGTGGTCCCAAATAATAATTACATTATTTCTAATCACATTACTATAAGAATAAATTTATTCGCTTGATGTGATTGATTTAGATGTAAAAAATTAAAGCAGGTTTGCACCCCTTTTCTGAGGGATTCACTATTCCGTAATAATGTACCTGTTCTGAAGAGACTATAATGGAAGTCTGTATACACAAGCAATTTAAATTGATCTATTTCCTTGCGTACTTTTACATATTCAGAAACTGATGAGCATGAATACACGTTGTAGGATGAATATAAAAATAAAGGTACATAAAAGTTTCAAAATTTATACTTCCAGCAAGATTATCTCTTCGACATTATAGTGTAAGTTTTTTTTTCACGCGTTAACTGAGATATAATCAACCGTTTCAATATAGATGCAAAGTTAAAACAGCAATCAATAAATACAAAAAATTAATATTTATATTTTATAATTTTCAATACTTTTAATATTTGATTTATTGTAAAATACGCTTAAACGCTTTTGTTACAATTTTTTATGTTGTACAACATTTGATCTTCAAATTTATTTCCATATATTGATCATTGTAATAAAATCCATGTATTATTATTGTAATAAAATATGGATGAATACATCAAACGCGATGTTATAATAAATCTGTAATAAAATTTTATTTTGGTAATATAATACTTTAATTTCACCGTATAAATTGCGTGTCATGTTACAATATGCGATTTATGTTACAAGGTTACAAGGATGTATTACGAAGTAAATAATCATGGATGCCAACACCGTCGAAAGAACATAAGCTGAGTTTTTTTCGAGACGAATAGAATTAAAGATTGTCCGATAAGTACATGATGTAATTTGCTAAGTCCTTGAAATCGACATGCTCATTCAGCATGGGATAATCTTGAGAATAATCTTGATCTAGAATTCGCATTAACAGAAGTGGGATATCAGATAAAAAAGCAGTCAAGTGAAAATGATAGTTTGCAATATAGCGTTAAGTGCAACTAGTCTCATGTTGAATATATCCAACACGTGCGATTCTTCTACGCAAGGTCTCTTATAATTTCGTAGTTGAAACGTTAATATATTTATATTACGTTCTATTAAGAGCGAAATTTGAGAGAGTTAAATGTTGCATACAAGCAACATGAACGCAGAAGTGTCATTCAAAAGTGTGATTCAAAATCATGGGATAGTTTTCTTTTTTTCTTTCTACTATAAAAAGAATGTAAAGTCAATAAAGTTTTAACGTGCTGATAATAACGTGTGATCGCAGTTATTAATTTAATTAGATTTTATTGATCTTCAAAGATATTAAATTTTTTAAATTGTTAATAATTTCTTATTGCGCGCGCGTACACACACACACACGCACACACACACACACACACACACACATACACACACAAAATTTAATATTTGCAGAATAAGCATTTATTGTATTGTATTATCGACAATAATAATAATGTAATTTACGTGTTAGGCGGATTTTAATATGATTCAAAATATTGAAAATCCGTAATTTAAATATATTTGTACAAGAATAAATATTTGCCTATCAATGCATATTTGTATTAAATTAATTAGAATTTGTACAATATTTTCTTTCTTTTTATTAGCACGTATCCCACATGTTTAATAAATGTTTAATGAATATTTTACATCATTTAATATATATTTAACTATTATATACACACGTTGCATAATATAACATAAACGTAAATATTTACAAGTTTGATGCATACTCAAACGCAACACGTTAAGACTCCAATCCTTTTCATCGAAAAAAATCATCAATTTATTCGAGCATAACGGAAGTTCTAACATGCTGTAAGCGTACAACGTCGTCGTGTAAGCGCATACAACGTGAGATATCTATGAATGCGATTCCATTTGTATGTATAGAAGGACGGTTTGAAGGAGAAGCGAAAAGCCTTTAGCGATCACAAGCGGTGCACTCAATAAAGTGGAAGAGAGCCCGATGACGCAGGTGTCTCACACTTGCAAATGAAAGTCCGGAGTCGGAGAAGACGGACGGAAGAGTATCACGTTAAGGTGGATGCTGGATTACTTAAGATACTGTAGCGAAGATAATAGCAGAGCCGGGATTCAGAGATCACTAGCGCGAGAGCATTACGAAGAGTGTGATTTAACGATCGCCTTTTGCGTGCAACGAGGCACACTGTACCAGTCGTGGGAGATTTCAAGGGCAAACACGTGTTGCAAATGCTTCGACGTAGATTTTCGGCGAATATATATGCGTAGGGATACGAGCTTTATGTGCGTAATGACGCTACTCGATTTTACGAGTTTATGAAAAAAAAGAGCTTCGGGTCATGGAAAATAGAAACGACATATTTTCTGTTTATCCAAAAAGTATCAAAACGCAGATGTTTACTGCAAATGACGTAAAAAACAGAATAAAGAGAATATTTTTAGAGTAGAAAAGTGTGTGGGGAAATTGTTTAATATAATACTATTCCATTATTATCTTGTCTATAATTTAAATAAATAGATCTATTCTTGGTAATTATGTATATATTTTTATATAATATTTCTCTCTTTCTCTCTCTCTCTTTTTCCTTTCCCTTGATTTCTCTGAATTGTTAATTATGCATAAATTAAATTCATTAAATTATCATGCTTTAACAAGAATAATTGCAAGCCAGTGACAATGACAGGACATGACAAAACGTATAAATTAACGATCTAAAATAAAATGTAGACGGTGAAAGGAGGGAGAGGAAATTGGAGAAGAAATAGGAGTAAAAGAGAGAAAGGAAGAGCGCGTGATGACGGAGCGCAAGAGGGAAGTATTATCCGGCACGAGTCACCAACGGAGACCTTCACCGAGACCGAGGAAGGTCGACATTGCCCTGTGCCTGTGCTGTGTGCTCGTAGCACCCCTCCCCATAGTAACGGCAGGCAGGAGTACCCTCGGTAGTATCAACCATCATGAGCAAGAGCAGCGGCAGCAGCAACAGCGGTAGAGATAGCAGCAACCCCTGCCGTTCTATCACGGCATAAAGAGGACATCATCGCCACCACCACCACCACGTTATCATCACTACCACTACAATCTTCTTTCCTGCTTACTGCGCTCACCCTGGCCTAGAGAGATAGCCTTGCTCCTGTGTGACGACTTGACGAGGATGAGAGAAGCGACCGTGGCAACGGGGGATGCACGAGGGTCAAGAAGGGCGAGGTGCGGGGGAGTTTCGGAGAAGGAAGATGGACGCAGGCGCGAACGCAGACGCAATAAGCGAACGAAACGGCGCCGAGCATTCCGGCAACGCCAGACAACGCGGCACAATCGAGACGAGATAATCTCTCTCTTTCTCTTTCTCTCTCTCTCTTTCTCTCACTGTGGAACGAAGCTTTAAACTATCCCTGTGACCATCCACCTACACAGTCAGTCCGATCGTGTACCGAAGATGGGAGTTGTGAAGACGGCGTCGGAGAGCATCCTCGAGGAGACCGTGATGCCGAGCGAGGAAGCGAATTACTCGCAGCAGGGTTACGCCGGTAAGGGTGGATTTTCTTTTTTCTAGTTTTACTGAATCACGATGAGATCGTAGTCGGTCTGAATCCGATGGAGCGCAAGACGAGCACACCCCGTAGGATCAGGTGTCGCGATCAAGGTCACCCTGTTCGTTCGCTCGCTCCTTCGTTCGGTTTCAGACCGGCTCCGGCACAGGAATTCGTATTACTCGCAACGCCGTAGCTTTAAAGGCGATGTGGCGAGCCGCCCACCCGAGACCGACTGCTAACAGGTGTTTGGAGATACAGATATACCGCCTGCGGTGTTCTCGTATACCAATACCGTCGAGGAAATCCGATCTTTTCCGTTGTAACGTTAGATTAACGAGCACCAACTTAAAGTCATGATCTAGGGAATGCTAACAATGTCGTTTGATGACAAATTGTTCGATCATTCCATCGATTGGCACTAATTAATAGTTATCGAATTACGTTCACGCCTTCAATGTTAAGCTAAATTAAATTGAAAGATAGACGAAAATGTTATTTAAACATTACATTGATAGAGAGATTGTATTCCAAAATTTGATATTGGATCGTACATTAAGGGTTAACCACTGCATTGCATCCCTTTCTGATAGATTAAAGTGCATACCAACTAAACCATAACGCGTGTTGAACTTTGGGCATGTCTCAAAATTAAAGCGATATGTGAATGATGTTCTATCTAACGCGTTAATATTGGCGTCGCGACTTGAGTGTGGTTGCGCATGCATGCTTCCAGTACGAAAAAGCAAGGCTTTAACACTATTTATACTTGTAAGAATCGATAAGTGCGATAAAGTTTTACAAAGAACAAGGCGACTTTGCTTCTACAATCCCCCGCTTTGTGACAGTGTTGGCGGAAATTAGCAGGTGGGATAAATAGAATATTGTCTGTCGATCATTCGCGTAGGGAATTAACGTCTGATCCAGATCTACTTTCAATACGGATATTACATTGTATTGATTAAAACCGGGTTACAGTAAACTGACCCAATTTCTGGCCGGTAGGCGTAAGAGTTTTGAATCGATTAGACCACGGGAATTAAAGTTACGTAAAACATTTGCAAGTTAATTGACCGTATTACATTTCCTTAATTTTCAAGTTTACTTTCATATATGGCACATCCAAAAATAATTTATATTTATTTCACGATTCCCCGTTTATTTTTACGGTCGAATTATTCATAAAATCGCTCGGCTCCGACACAAAGAGTATTTTCATATTTTTTTCATATCATAATAAAGTTAAAATAAAAATCAAGGCATTGTGTTAATGTATTTTTGTATAATATAAAAAAATATTTTATATTAAACACGAAGGTAAACTGTATTTCACTACGGGGACCTTTAATTCACATATTGTATTATTTATTTTACAAAAATAATACACACTTTGAGAATACATTATATTGCGAAAAAATATACAAAATAATTGTGGAATTTTTGCCCTTGGGCTCATAACTGCTGAGTGGTTCAATAGAGACTTACAATCTTTTCTAGAAGAAGCTACATTTAGATATGCGCTTCCATAAAAAGCCACAAAGGAAATTAATAAGATACTGAAGAATGAATAGTTTCGCGTACCATTTAATACACTATCCGTTATCACAATCACGATATTAGTATATTATCTGTATAATTAAGTTGCATAGAGAATATAATTTGATTTGTAACAACGTCAATTAATTAACGTAATTTTACATAAACGAAATAAACTTTTGTAAACAAAAAATTTTTGTGAATTTGTTTTTAATAATAAGCTATTATTTTGCTTTTGTTACAAAAAAATACATTATCACGGACTATTTTCATTAACACTGTAAATCAAATCTGCTGTCTTTCAATCTTTGATCTGTTCGGTGAATAGCTATTATAATCTAGAAAGGCATACATTAAACCATAAGTAGAGTTAGGTAAGCCAATGTTTGCCAGCTCAACTCTAAACGTAACAGATCGAAAGACACGTTCCGAGAGTCAGGAAAATAATTGCAAAGTATTACTAGCTTGATCAAAAGTTTCCATTCATTCAGAAAATTCAAAATACAAGTTTATTCATCAAAAGTGATATTGTCCCCTTCAAAGTACTCTCCAGCGACTGCAACGCACTTATGCCAGCGCTTGATCCAGCTCTCGAAACATTTCTGGAACTCTATTATTGGTATAGCCATCAGAGCCGTCTTCGATTTTTCCATTACCTCCTTTCGACTGTTAAAACGCGTTCCCCGCAGTGGTTTTTTGACTCGATCGAACAGAAAAAAATCGCAGGGAGCC